CTGCTCTATTTAGCTCGTATACTTGGAAAGATAGAGCTGGATCGTGTTTTTAGCTCATTTTTACATCAGACTTTTACAAGAATGAGTTTCTGCTCTGAGGATGTCCATCGAATGATGGACTAAACTAAACTCTTTTTCACCCGAATCGGTTGTCAATCCTTCTTTTGTCTCCTATGAGACCATTTCACGTATTCTTTTCGACCATATTTTTCTTCGAAATGAAAAGCATTTTCAAAATAGCTCATTAAGGAACTCTCGTAAACCCAGTTTCGTTTCACATTTCTTTAACTTGCCTAACCTACCGGAAATGCTCTGAGGATGTCCATCGAATGATGGACTAAATCTAACCTCTTTTTCCTCCGAAGTGATGGACGATATCTCTTGGACTCTATGAACTTTAACCTCTTATTGGACCAAAGCGGCTGTAGTGCAACGGGATTAAGCCATTGAATTCTGGTGAACCTAGCCTACAAATCTCTTCTTCATGCACTTTCATACAAAATGAAAGCCGCTTCAACAATGCTAAATAAGGATATTCACCGAAACCCAGCTAATCTTTGCATTTAATTTCATCATGTATGTATTCGATAATAAATTAGTGAATCCGCAAATAAAATTGTATTTACCTTCATTTTCAATTTTTACTTTTTATTAAACCAAACGTAGAATCATTCAATACAGCAAGCTTCAGACGTCAAAAATGGTAATGAGTGTATATTTTCCTTAAAACATATTTAAATTGAAGCTTAGACTTGGAGCTCCGTCTCAGTATTCCCAGATCTTTTTTCGTCTACTAGATTTTGCTCATTTCATTATCTTCATTTCTTTCCTTCGCGTAGGTATGATTTAAAGGATAACACCACAATGCGCCTGATTGATCTACTTTTCATCGGAGCTATGGGCCCTCCAGGTGGTGGGCGTAATCCAATTACGCCAAGGTTTCTGCGCCACTTGAATACAATTACTATAAATGAATTCAACGACGACTCCATGCGCACAATCTTCGGGCGTATTATGGATTGGCATATTGCAATAAAGTGAGAAGCCTGATTCCAAATATATACCTCAGGTTACATACTGCAACACTTTCATTAGACCGCTTTTGGCAAAAATGTTCTTGATAAGTTGTCGTGTTGATAAGCCTGAAACGTTTTGTTGTCAATTTCATTTAAGGATTAGTTTAGAATGACAATTTCGTCATGGCAACAACATAATGAATATAAGAAGCAACGAGAGTTGAAGAGATTGCCTTTTTCAATGATTTCTTTTCAACAAGAGAAAGAGTTTCTTTTTTCGTGTTCTGCTAGGATATATTACCCCGTTTGTGCTGTAGTGGAAGGTATAATCCTCACTATTTGTTTCTCAGTCTAAGTGCACAAAGAGATTGTCCTAACTTTGAGCCGCATGGTACAGTTTATAGTAGACGCATTGTTAAGACTTTGTATCACAAAAAGAAGCAGGATTCACAAATCTGAAATGGAGGCTGTTAGTGATCTGAGCTGCTGGTCGATGCATAGCAAATATCCACATGCCTCGGCAGCTAAGAGTGTAGCACTTTACCCGCAAGCAGGTCAACAAGTCTTACTACCTGCGTCAACTGACAATTTAAGCGGACAATGTAAGTAATAGTCTAAATTTTTATCTTTTTGCATGAGTAACTTGTAATTTGCATATTCTCCACAAAAAAGTCGGTTGTTATTGTCTATCTGCAGATTTCATGTGAAGTTGGAGAATTTAATGACGATTCATTTGCAACAGACATTCATGCTCTCAAAATGTAGAACGTTTCGATTGCAGAAGCCTCTTCATGGGTTGTAAAACATGTATTCTGGAATGACGCTTGCAGCATTTAAATCTATTTTAGTATTGGCATACCTTTCCTTCCGTTAGAAACGGCGGTTAAAAGGTTTTCGTAAATTGACCTTCCTGAATACGGAATGAGTATTTCCTTGGATTTGTGACTGTTTGATTGTGTGAAGGCGACCTCAAATCTCTGTCCTGCCAGCCCGATCCATCCGTGCTGAGCTTTCGTCCTTCGTGGGACGGACATCGTCAGAGCCGAAAAGCATCATTTACGAACAACCTTAAAACGGCACCAAACCAAGAAAGGTGGTCTGCTGAAAGTATACTCACTTCTTACAACCAACATTGCGACCTTAATGAGGCCTTCTATTATCTGGTGGGTTGGTTACGTTCTGTTTGGCCTGTGCATGTGGACGAGTCAAGTTTATACATAAAAGTGAAGCGGATGTAGACAACGCTTTTGCATACACAAATAAACGAGCATGTGTGTCTGTCTGCGTTGCGTATATGCAACACTCATTCATCAGTTGGCAAGATTCCGGGTTATTTTTTGTTTTTAATTGGGTTTTAGAGCCTATCAGTAGATCATACAAATGCAATGTATTTATCCTGTTTCGTGTATGGTGATGGAAAAAAGGTAATTGAATTTTCCCATAATCATATTAGTAGAGACCTTCGGAACCAGAAACCATCATCTACGAACAACCGCCAAAAACACTAGACCGAGAAAGGTGGTCGGCT